TCTCTCTCTCTCTCTCTAGCTCTCGCGCACTTCCCTTCTTTCTCTTTCTCCTGCCCCTTGCCACCACTTCTGCTGTTGTGACATGACATGAAGGGGCGACAGCAAAGCGCATGTGCTGTGGTCTTCTAAATGCCACGTTTCAGCCGAGAGGCGAGGAATAATTTCACAGATATTGAAGTAGACAATCACATCCAATAAAAATTCCTGGCCGAGTTGGTAATGCAACGGCACCATATGATGCGATATATTATTGCTGACTGCGGAAACATTGATAATGCGAGAGTTTGGGTTAACGTTGCATCGACGCTGCTGTGGCATCAGGGTGGATGACATTATAGTTTTATTTTTATGTCTGTTCTCAGTAGTATCACCCCACACTATCAACAATGACATGGATGTCAGGCTGGGACGTATAACTGCAGTCTATCGTGTGCCTATGACATCAATTATAGATGACATATGACATAGATGACAGTGATGACAGGACACAGGTGATTCATGATAGGCATAAACACACAAAGGTGACAAACATGACACGTGACACTTGACAGGTTTAACAGGACACATGTGTCACATATATGACAGCTATAATAGCACACAGATGACGCATATTTGACAGGTGTAACCGCATACTTTGGAGTGCAGTATAGCTTGGTATCTCTACAGGGCCTTTAACAGATCGTTTTACTCTGATAATGCGCTACTCTATCGAATGAAATAAAGATTTAATGTATGGTTAGAATTAGCAAACACTATGTATATAAACACAAATGGCATAGTATCATTTTGCAGGTTTATATGCAACATCATTACATGTCGTTAGAACTCATATAGAGAAAGATAACTGTCTTGCCATCTAATTACCACAACCGGTAACTAAGGCACACCAATCCCACTCACCTCATATTTCATATATTTCACACTGTATTTCCATAATTCATATACTCAACGGATGAGAACCAAATAACTACATATCCTGCCAACATTTCTCCCAATTACACCATCATATACACGTTTATGATGAGGTTAATGCTCTATTGCCCACGTCTCACTGCCCCTTACAACTGCACGTACAAGGCATGTATAGGAACATTGATTGCTCATGTCTCGAGCTGCTATAACGCAGTGCTTGGGAGCGCGGATATCGCTGCCGGCTTACTCCCCACAGCTATCTGTAACCTAGCTGCTAATGCTTCCAATGTCGCCGATGACACTTGAATTCGCTCGCGAACGCAATTAATATTGCCTCTCGCTGCACTTTATATGAGCTAATGTCCGTGGATGTGTGGGATTACTGCTGGGTCGCAGCAGCTGTCTAATACGTGTAATTATACTGCGTACTAAACATCGGTGATCGGCAAGCGAGCCATTTATAACGATGAACAAATATATTTATTACATATTTTACTTGGTGTACATACATGCGTAGATGTACGCGTATGTGCATGTGCATTTGTCCGTGTGTGCATGCGTGCATGTGCGTGCACGTGTGTGCGTACATGCGAGTCTGTACATGGTTTTAAGTACGTGTGTGTGTGAATGACTGCATCTGCCTGGCTGCTCATGAGCTCATGAATGCAAAAACATAAGTGTAAATCCGCAAGCATATATACAATTACATATAATATTACATGTACATGCACGCACACACGCACGCACGCACGCACGCACACGCGCACACGCACACGCACACACATATATATGTATGTATATAACAATTCCATACCCTGTTTGCCATTAACCTTTCCATTCTCATGGGCAATTGTGCCATGACTATGATCAAATGGGATGCTCTTCTCTATAGCAACACTCCTGTAACCAACACTGCGCAGAATCTGGATGCAACCAATGAAAAATTATAGGATGTATGATGCGTAACATATTATGTAAAAAAATGTTTATAGTTTAAAATTTCCTCATCAGCTTCATTTCATTTGAGGTTTTTAACAGTTTTAAAAAATAGCATGGAAATTTTTAACAATTGGTGTTTTACAATAGCATAAAATTAATTATGTTAATAAGTGTTACATACAGAAAAAGATTAAGGAAATGAGGAATCAAGTATGCGACCACATGCACTATACTCAGCTTAGTACAGTTGCTTATAAGAGAGTGAGATCACTTCCTTCCCCACCCCATCTGCCACCTTCCCCCCATTTACCCCCTTCCCCATCCATCCTTTCTACAATCTACACCCCCCCCCATCATTCATTCCCTTCCCTCATCCACTTCCTTCTCCCAGCCACCCATTCCCCAGTACACCCCTCCCCATATGGTCCCTTCCCTCCTAAACCTCCTTCCCCATCCACCAGCCCTTTCCTTATATGCTACCTTCCCCCAATCTCCCCCCGTCCCCTATTATGGCCATCCACCCCCTTCCTTTATATGCACCCTTCTCCCACCCAACTTTTCCCACATATGCCACCTTACCCATCCACTCCCCACCCCCCAAATGCCTCTTTCCCACATCTACCCCCTTCTCCCACATACCACACTTCCCACTTACGCCGTCTTCCCCCATCCCCCTCACCCCGTTCGCCTGTAAGTCCCATTAGGAAGCTCCTAGACCAATGATAGACGTCATTGTGACATTTGACCCTCGGGTGTAATTGATTTATCGACGTGCGTGGGATTGTATTAGACTACACAACACACGCAAAGCGTGTTAGCAGTAACTCCACGTGAATTTCTACTAACCGCTGCAAAATCTCATCCGCTACCCACCTACACACTCTGAGCAATTATTTATTATCAGAATAATCTTCACCGGTAAAAAGTTCGAGCGACTACGAACACTATTGCGGCAATTGAATTTTGACTGATGTGCTTATATCAATGAACTTTAGTGGAGTACTTATCAGGGCAACCCTCACCATATGGCGTCGGCTGCCATCTGCAGTGCAAACAGTATAGCTCTACTCCAGTCCAGATTAAACCCAGGTCGATGCAAAGTGGATTGCACTCTCGTGGGTGCATACGTGTTACAGCACAGTACTTAAAATATTAACGGTAGACATCACTATGGCTCGTGTGTGTGCATAGGAGCTTATGGATTATAGTGCACCTTGAACTTACCAAACCACAGTCAATGACCTCCCTGTCATCTGTAGATCGCGCACGAACACTCTTTCCTGAGCCCTGTACGAATCAATGAAATACATTAGCTGATGATGTTGATATGCTATTGAACATATCTACTACTTGTGTTTTTACTGAATAACTGTTTAACTGTTAACAAATACCTGCAATTTCTTTAGATTGTTTTTAGCCAAAAGAAGACAACACTCTGTTTACGTTTCAGGAATTCCACCCACACTCGATCATGTGACATTAAAGTGTCTCTATTATATTTTAAAGATAATAATCTTAGGTATAGAATATTGCTCCGCATACCTCGAGTACATTCACAGCCAGTTCTAGAGCTCTAAGTCGTTTTCCATCAGCAGATGGCAGCACTTGAATAGGGCTTCTTAGGAACTTCACATAGAATTCGCGTGATGCGTCTGCCAGCCTCTGGACCTCCTGCTCCGTCTGGCCTCGTCCCGTCACAGACTTCAGCATCAACTCTGTAAGCCGCTTCCGAGGTCTGGGAATTCCTACGCGAAATAACTCACATCATTCAGTGTAATCATCCACATTACACATATCACAAACTATGATCTATGGGTACATGGCAGCTCAAGACACGACTAAGACTAAATCTCTCACTATACATGAATGTTTCCTGGAACAAGGTACATTGTCGTGCTAGGCAGGAGGAGAAACCTACCAAAGTATTGCAGCAGTACTTATTGAATATCAATGAAGAGGTAGATGAAATATACCCTTGCATTGCTTAAAATTAAACTGATCATGTTTGGTAAAAGCCTTTCTAATCCTATATACCAGTTCTGAGGTATATATTGCTCAATATCTCCCTAAACTCCCACTAGACAGGACAATGAGTATGTTATCACATGCGACGCCAGCTACGTTTTTACAGTTGTATATGTTATTAGCCTCACCAGCATACATCACTGTTATCTACATTCCCACGTGACATTAGAGCAGTCTGTGCTCACCCGCTAATGCTTCCTCAACTCCTGAGAAATCTTCCGCTGTGAACACGGTCCTGCAGTCAGGCATTGTCACCATCTCTCTCAGCTCCTTAATTGTAAAAGCTGCCTGTAGAGGGCCTCGCCGTCCCACAACGTGCACTCTCCGTATCTTGCTCCTCGTTAGTGCTTCCAGGGCATACTCTGTGATGTCCGTCTCCTTTCACATGGAAAGCCGTCAGAAAAAGCCGCCGATAAACAGAGTGCCTTAATCAGCCCTATTCCTCTTTCATGGCTGTCCTTTATTCGCTCGTAAAAAACACACATTAGAACTCGATGGGTATCTCCATTCCAGATGTGAGAATTTGCAAGACCGCCACTCTTGTGTCTCCCACTGTCCTAACCTAACTGCTGGTGATGTTTGCCTACACTGTACCCTATTAGTGTGTTTGTGCAGACTAGTGCTACACATAACTTAATGATCCTGTAGACACGTCAAGCTAACAGTCAGCAGACACATATCGTTAGCTGCAGTGGATATTCATTAGACTATAGTTAGCTACGGCAGGCTCACCTGAAGTAGGCGGATGGGTGTGAGAAGAATTCGAGCGATGTCCAATGCCACGTTGCCCTGACCGATGACAACAGCCACCTCAGTGTTCAGGTTAGGCTGCAGCTGTAATGCACATGATAAACTTTTATCTTCATGCAATTGAGAGAGCTATAGCATCTAATACACCTCCGCATTATTTAAATTACTGACTATAGTTTACTATAGCCATAGCCAACGTTTAAACCTACAGTCTAAACTTGGTATGCAGGCCTATCTTTTCTACACTAGTGACTGGTACCATTCATACCCGTGTTACCTATGTTGTTGCTGCTAGACTTTTGCTATTCTTGCAATCGTATGTATTGTGATGATTATGTTTGCCTTCTGTGACTATGCTACAAACAGGTTACATAACCCTACCCAGCTATGTAGCAACATACTGATGTTGTGACCCTCATAGATTACTCCTTAACCTATGCTTTCTGGCTAAGCGAGTAAGCGATATAATTACAAGGTAATTTCACTTACATGTCTGTGCTCTGGAAGTCCATTATACCAACCAACAAATGATCGGGCTGATTCTACACCAACCAGCCCCTGCAATGCAACCAGTGTTCACAGTTACACATGAGATGATGTAAGGCTGAGAGGGTCCCCAAGGGTACTGCCGGAACGTACCCTGGTACTATCTAATATGCCGGACCGTACCTCGCCTACTCCACTAATGAGTCTAGGGAGTCGCCTACGCCTACTCCCTAACCGTAACCATATCAAATAGTTACCAGGGTAGGTTCTGGTATACCGGACCGTACCCATGGTACGTTCCGGTATACCGAACCGTATCCAGGGTACGTTCCGGCAGTAGCCTGGGAGACATAGACCCTATGAGCTGATGTAAGGCGTAACATACAATGAATATTGCATACATAATATCGTATAATACATCTCATCACCACACTGACTACCCTATTTCCTACCTGGAAGGTTAGGCAGGACACAATGCTTATATCTAGTTATAGGCAGGCATGAATCACACACTGGTTGCAATGCTAGGTAAAACCTCGATGGCATGAATACCCATAATTCTGCTGTACTATCTTGCATTTGAAATAATTCTATAGCTGCTAGGTTATACCATGAACTTATGTATAGAAGAGAATAAATGAAATATTTTCAACATAGAGGTTCATGGTTGTATAGAGAGAGATATGTGAATTTACCTCGCCTGGTATGCCTAGCTCACGATCTGCCTCAGCACCGTAAGACTGTGAAGAAATTAGACGGTTGATTAAATTCAATAGCATCATGCTATACGTACTCGTACCGAGCTCATATGAAAAAAGAAGTAGCATATTGTACAAACATATATAACATAACCTTCTAGTTCATCAGAATCACAGTTGGTTATTAACGCTCACATGAATTGTTCAATGAGTTTCTACCATAATGTGACATGCGTTTGGATATGTTTACTATTTTACAGGTCATTTGTTATATGCTATACACATAACATACATACCAAGACTACAACGTTGTAAGCTTGCTGTAGCTCGTGAATGCTCACATCTTTACCGACGCTCACATTTCCAACAAATGAACATCTTTCATTCTCAGCTGTAGCTGCAAAGGTGTTTATCACATTCTGAAAAACATGTGTAACTAAATAAAACATTGTTACCACAGATGATCGCTATAGTCACAATAAAGCATTCTCAGTTAGTTGGTTTTTTGTGTGTTTGTATAGTGTATAACCCAAACAACAAACTTGAGATTACACGAGAATGATAATGCAAAGTATTATTGAACAGTAAATTGCATGCTCCGTTTACCTAAATCAGGAAAGACGTGATATATCACTGACCATTATATAGTTACAGTTACCTTTACTTCTGGGTGGTCTGGTGCAACTCCAAACCTTACCAGTCCATATGGGAGTGGTAGTCTGTCAAGAATGTCCACATGGATGGATGGATTGCCCTAACCAATGGCAATTATTCAACCCTGCAGCACTTGTATTGTATTAACTTGTATCATATCGTAGCACTTGTATCATATCCAGCAGGTAACTACTTGCATGATCATTTAGTATAGCTGTTAAGTCAATTTTCAGCTTATTTAATATATACTAGCTATGTTTATAACCTCTCCACTGCATTTTTATACCTTAAGAATCTGCTGTGCAGTATAGAACCCAGCTGGTCCACTTCCAATAATGCAAACTTTTGGTCCTGTTTGGCTACACGTTGATAAATAAGGTCTCTGCACATGGTGCCACTGATGGCAGCGCCTTGCCAATAGTCGGCAATTGTGAGTGTATTGACTCATGACCTATGGAATTAGAAAAAAGGTTAGGGTTTAATTATAAATCTAAAAGCCCTATAATAATCAGAATTGTGCACAATGTAACACTCTCTCGTTTTGGTAACGCTGTAGCAATGTTATTACCATGTTTTTGCAATGTTACTTTTCAATGCGGTGGCAATGTTGTGGTAATGTTTTTGCAACGTTATTTTGCAATGTGAAAATAGGAATACTGGCATAAAGTTTCGTTCCCATACTAGTGTTACACAAAACGTGATCAGAGCTTGAGTGTAACAACTAACAGTAATTGTGTAAGCATTTAATTGTTTCTCCCAGAACGTAATTTTGACTAGCTAGGATTCAGTGGAGACTGGAGTCAATCAATGTCAAGATTGCCATCCCATCCCAATGATATTGATGAAATGATCAAGATTACTCAGTCTGTCACTGGCAGTGGCGTTCATAGGGTCTATGTCCCCCAGGGTACTGCCGGAACGTATACCCTGGTAACTATCTGATATGGTTAGGGTTAGAGTTAGGGTTAGGGTTAGGGTTAGTGTTAGGGTTAGGGTTAGGGTTAGGGTTAGGGTTAGTGTTAGGGTTAGGGTTAGGGTTAGGGTTAAGGTTAGGGAGTAGGCGACTCCCTAGACTCATTAGTGGAGTAGGCGAGGTACGGTCCGGCATATTAGATAGTACCAGCTACCAGGGTACGTTCCGGTATACCGGACCGTACCCAGGGTACGTTCCGGCAGTACCCTGGGGGACATAGACCCTCTCAGTGGCAGTGGCAGTGCCAGTGGCGCTGAGAGGGTCTATGTCCCCCCAGGGTACGGTCCGGTATACCGGAACGTAGCTCACCAACCAGAACGTACCCTGGTACTATCTATAATCTAATATGCCGGACCGTACCTCGCCTACTCCACTAACGAGTCTAGGGAGTCGCCTACGCCTACTCCCTACCCCTAACAATATCAAATAGTTACCAGGGTACGTTCCGGCACTCGGCAGTACCCTGGGCCGGGGGACATAGACGGTTAGAGTTAGACCCTATGTGAGCGCCTACTGCAGTCCTACCTACTAGTGCTCATAGGGTCTTATGTCCCCCAGGGAACTGCCGGAACGTACCCTGGGTACGGTCCGGTATACCGGAATGTACCCTGATCACTATTTGATATGGTTAGGGTTAGGATTAGGGTTAGGGTTAGGGTTAGGGTTATGGTTAGGGTTAGAGTTAGGTTAGGGAGTAGGCGTAGGCGACTCCCTATAGACTCGTTAGTGAAGTAGGCGAGGTACTAGCTCTAGTAACTATAGCCCGCGTACAGTTGCCGCAGACAGTTGCCTGTGGCAACTGTACGCGGGCTATAGTTACTAGAGCTAGCGAGGTAGGCCTACGGTCCAGCATATTAGATAGTACCAGGGTACGTTCCGGTATACCGGACCGTACCCAGGGTACGTTCCGGCAGTACCCCGGGGGACATAGACCCTCTCAGCCACAGGCACTTGAAGCATATCAACTGTAAGCGCACGGCGCCGCCATTGCGCGTACACTAACACATATATATAAGAGTAACTCAATATATATGTGTTAGTGTACGCGCAATGGCGGCGCCGTGCGCTTACAGTTGATATGCTTCAAGTGCCTGTGCTCTCAGCCCTAGTACTACTAGTAGTAGTAGTAGTAGTAGTAGTACTAGTACTACTAGTACTACTACTACTAGTAGTACCTAGGCTAAAAAAAAAGTCCAGCCAATCACGGTTTATTGCGATGCTACGTTCTACAGTTGTACTTGTAGATCATACGTGGGATAGAAGATCAACGATATAAATTCTAAGAGAAAACAGTCTGTACTAATAGGCCTGTACCGGCCGTTGGACTGGGAGTGGGAGTAATCCGAGTATGAAAGACAAATCATAATATGCGTCATGCGTTACTTCACCGGAAGTTGTAGTTCCTTGACTTCATAGACGAGTACCCGTCCCTTCTTACAAGCTTGATATGGCTTCTATATTAAGCTTGTGAGAAAGGACAGGTACCAGTCTATTTGACCTCATAGCAGCTGATGAACCGGTAGCGATTCTATAGTGGTCACGTGTCTTTTGTCGGAAATGACAGGAAACTGAAACCACGCCTCTTGTTGACGCTGCCATTTTCGACGGAACTGTCAGTTTTGTAAAATTTTTGAACGTTTAGTAAGTTTTCATGTACACTTTTCAGTTTTATAACCGCATGATCGTTTACCTGTAATTGAACATTGGCTGTAAATCCAGTTTTAAGATATGCAAAGACGGGTTATTCATAGTTTTAATGAAACTTATCAAACTGCCTTATGCAGTTATGCCTGCCAGTGCTGAGTGTCAGTATCAATCATTGACATTAACTCGAGTAACCACACCGGGTGAATGTCAGAGTGGATGTTTAAATGGAAATCTTTAACATTTCTGTTCAGCAAATAGCTGACACTAAATCGCATGTCAAACGTTCAGTGATTCCGGCGTATTTGCAAATCGCAAACGCAATTTTAACGCTGTGGGCCGGTGTGGCTATATGCCCGGCAGCCGGGCACGGTCTTCGTTTTCCTAAATGCCCGGCAGTTCTTAACCCTAACTCTAACCTAACCCTAAACCTAACAAAAACCCTAACTCTAGCCCTAAACCTAACCCTAACCCTAACCCTAATCCTAACTCTAACCCTAACCCTTGTTTACTTGAGATAACGCAAAAAATTAAAAACTGCCGGGCATTTAGGAAATCGAAGACCGTGCCCGGCAGCCGTCAGATATACGCCGGCTGCCGGGCATATAGCCACTGTGCAATTTTAACACTAACAGACAGCAGTGCCAGTGCCCACACGTGACACATAATACTACTACTACTAGTACTAATACTAGTAATAGTAATAGTAATGTAACAGTTGTCGCATTAGCAGGCTGATTTTGTTCTTAATTTAAATAAATCGCATGGTGATGAGTAGTAATGGTAACAACTAACATCATTCCTGGCAGGCACGCATGCTAAGTCAACAACATCATGGAAAGTTCACTATTGTCGTGGCTGTTGTCGTCAAATTCATTCAAGATGGTTCTGTTTCTCGCACAGGTTGATATAACAGACGTGAAGAACAACAGCTGATAGCGATGGCAGACGATAAACACGACACCGATCTCCCGGAGGACGATCCTAACTACAGGGCACCGGCCGAGAAAGCGCTCAAAGAAATTCTAGAGACGGACAAGGAAGATGAGAGTCTGCAGAAGTACAAGGCTGCTCTGCTGGGAGATGGTGCCACTGGGTCAGCAATAATTATAGGTACCGTAATATGTGTGGCACCTACTCACAGCTATGTGAAGATTAAATAGTACATACGTGAGTCGTGCTGAGCTCATATATTATAATATATGCTAATTTGATGAAAGAGGATTGGGGGGTATACTTTATAACTAACGTTGTGGTAGTGTAGTTAATGTAATTTTTTCCTGTGTATAAAGTAATTTTCATTCTCAACGAATGTAATAAAGTGATTGATTTTAAACAGATTTGTACGATTTTAGATGAGAAAGACCCAAGAAAAGTCATTCCAAAAGTGCTGATACTAAAAGTAGATGGTAGGGGCGATGTAGAGTTGGACCTAACAGGCAAGTACTATTTCTGTCTTTATGTTATAGTATTTTGAATTAAAAATATAAAAATACTAGCTGTTGGGAAAGCTTTATAGAAAAGCCAACCAGTAAAGTGGTACAAACTTTACAGTGTTTACAACTTCCCTTGATTCACATGACTATATGGTCACAGCTACAGGTAGCACACCCTCCGCAGCTGTCACTACGGAGATACCAGATTAGCATACAATTAAGCTTTTGCATACATGTTGTATTAAGTAGTGCATGTTTACTGCTTCTATCAAGAATTCTATCAATTATACACATTTAATTTGTAGTTGAGGTATCTCTCTATGCTCAAACTACGATATTTCATGAAAGATTCTTCACCTAATTATGTGACTACAAAATTTTAGAATTTAATGTAAAATCATAATTTGGATATTTTTAGAATACCATATATATATCAAATGTGAAAACAAATTTTTTGCTATAAATTATGCACAATATGCGTCAAAAAAGTGCCGCTGGATTTTCGTAAGTTTCATATTTATCCCCCAAAAATGATAAAAAAAATACCTAAAATTTAAGTTGTGAGTTGTAACTAAAAATTTGAGCAAAAAAGTACCATGACATATAAAGAGCTACGTTTAAAATCAAACCCTGCCCCTCTATTTTACAGTAATTTTTTTACTATTAAAATTAGTGTAAAACTATATGATTTGGAGATGGAATGACAGTGTATACATTGGCAACTGTGGCAGAAATTGCAATTGAGATCATCGTTTTTCTACTTTTCACAATGAGCAAAAGTCTATGTGTGAAATGGGTGAATGGATGTAAAATATCTACTGTTAGTACTTACTGCGACATATCCGTTAGTAACTGAATCCACTAATATATGATAAAATTTCCTGTATTTTAAGAAATTATGAGAAATATCTGTGTGACAAAATACAAGAAATATCTGTGTGTGAACTTGTGCGAATAGGATAATTAATTGTGTATTTTTAGTCATCAGTAAATGCATATTTTAAGGGCCACAGCTCATTGCACAGTGCACATGCACATCAAATTCCACATCAGAGTTTGAGCGTATCCTTGTATACATATTACATCTATATTACATTCTTATTACAATCCTTATTACATATATATGGTTTCAGTAATAAACATTTAACAATCACGTCCTAGCACCCCTTTTAACCTCTGGTATTTAGAGAGTTCAGCTTGGTTACTAGAGCAGATAAGGTCTATGTCTCCATGACCTTTGTTTGACCGTTCTCGTTTAGCTATTTCTGACTAACCCTAACCCTGGTAACTATCTGATATGGTTAGGGTTAGGGTTAGTCAGAAATAGCTAAACGAGCCAGGTCAAACAGAGGTCAGGGGGACATAGACCCTACGGGCGTTACTAGAGAGTGTACATGTGTGTCTCCTGACATGTGTGCTTGTTTTTGCAGGAGACTTGGGTAAGCTGAAGGAGAAGCCATTTACAATCAAGGAAGGAGTTTCCTATCAGATGGAGATTGTCTTCTATGTACAGCGCGAGATTGTCGCGGGACTCAAATACGTACAGGGAACCTATCGCAAGGGAATTAGAGGTATGCAGCTAAAACTGTGTACTTGTTATATTTGCCTACATAGTTATTAGTAATGATAGCAATGATTGCTGTATGGAGCCACTAAATTGACTGAATCGTACCACTATGTTTTAAAGTTATTCCATAATGCAGTGTGCGTGCGTGCGTGCGTGCGTGCGTGCGTGCGTGCGTGCGTGCGTGCGCATGTGCATGCTAGTGCATTTGTAATTGAGTATGTGTACGCATGTGTTAAGGTGAGTACGTGCATGGTGTGTGCGTGTGTGGAACTGAGTAACTGAGTGAGTGGTGTGTGCGTGTGTGGAACTGAGTAACTGAGTGGTGTGTGCGTGTGTGTAACTGAGTGAGTGGTGTGTGCGTGTGTGGAACTGAGTAACTGAGTGCATGGTGTGTACGTGTGTGGAACTGAGTAACTGAGTGGTGTGTGCGTGTGTGGAACTGAGTGACTGAGTGAGTGGTGTGTGCGTGTGTGGAACTGAGTGACTGAGTGAGTGGTGTGTGCGTGTGTGGAACTGAGTAACTGAGTGAGTGGTGTCTGCGTGAAGATGTGCATGTGCACACATGTACTGGAATGTATCAAGAGCTAATAATACCTTATTAGCTCTTATTATTTTTATTATTATTCGGTATTATTAGCTCTTGAATGTATTGATACTGATACCAATAGCTATCATTACACCCAAGCATGTTTACGTTTGACCCAAACACTGCACTCTGCACATTTATGTTTATGTCCATGGCCGTGCTAACAGCTTTTCATGGGGCCACCCATCACACAGTCGTTGGTTCCCCAAGTAACCTGTGTATCCCAACCAAAATAATTTTAATGCGGAATTTATTTGTAACTTGTATTTTTTAGCCAGGTCATAAATTCACTGGGCCACGTGTGCAACAAATGGATGAAAAACAGTTAGACTTGCTAACCATTCTTGGAATCCTGGTTACAGTTATGGTAAACATGGAATTCTGTAGGGGTTGTTGTAAACAAGATCCCCTGGCTCTTTTAAAAAACGAACTGTTTGGATCTTTACACTGGGACTGGAAATGGAAGCGTATTAGTTTGGAATGCTATTGATTGTTGTAAACTACAAGAATAGGTTGAAATGTAGACGAAATTTGCACGGCATCAAGTCGTGGGAATGTCGTTGACTAACTCCTCAGTCAGGTTTGTTATATGTGACATGCGATCCATTAATAGCATCTGCATTCATGCAAGTTACTCATCGATGTGTGCGTGTTGAAATTTAGCATTGTGTGGCCCCTGCATGACACTAAGTTACAGGCATAAGAATTTTCCGCGAATTCGCGGATTTCCGTGTTTAGGTTTTTCATTTTAATCATTCTTGAGACTGGTGCAAAAAACTAATAAAAAGTTTAGGGTTAGGGTTAGGGTTTTTTGTCAAAATGGACGCCATTTTTAATTTAAACTTCATAACAAGTCAGGGAAAGTACGTCAAATTTCACACAGAAGTAACGGAACTCCAGATAAATATCGCGGTGTATCTATGTATGTAATGTAAATTAAGGCATGCTTTAAGTTAAACCGCCACATAAAACATTGAAATTTTCCTAGAAATTGACAAGCCTTTGGTTTGTTGGTCACGAAATTGGTCTTTTACTAAGAACAGAATGAACTTACAATTTTCGCCAGAATGCATGGAAATGGCCTATCTGCCCTTCCAAATTTCAAAAATTTCTGAATGCTACGTACACTGTTGTCCTGCCTTCGGCATGAATTGAAATATTTCCTCCAAAAACATCTCAACTTGTTCTCATGCTTGATCTTATCATTGGCAGCTACAGGTACTGCTAGATCACGTACCTGTAGTACAGGTTTTTATCTGCCTTGTGTTATCCGCAGTATGATTTGCGTACCTTCCCTTTGTTATCTGTGATGCAAGAGTTTACCTGTGACAATTCATTTACCTGCCCCATGTTAGCTCTAATACGATTCGTTTACCTACCCCAAGTTACTTGTGATTATATGTCATTCATTTACCGGCCCGATGTTTCCTGTGATACGCTTCATGTACTTGCGCTACTTTACTTGTGCCGTAACTCTTTCACCTGCCCTGTGTTACCTCTGACGTGACTTGTTTACATGCACTGCTTTACATGTGACATGATTCGATCACCTGCCTTGTATTGTCTCTGACGTGACTCGTTTACATGCACTGCTTTACTTGTGCCGTTATTCATGTACCTGACTCACATTATCTGTTACGTTTATTTGTTTATAATGCATGTCATTCTCGTTGGCAGTTGACAAGGACAGCTGGATGATCGGCAGTTACGGCCCAAAGAAGGAGAGCCAATCATATACAACGCCGGCTGATGAGGCGCCCTCTGGTATGATTGCGCGCGGTAGCTACACCGTCAAGTCAACCTTCATCGACGATGACAAGACCGAACATCTCAAGTGGGAGTGGACGTTCGATATCAAGAAGGATTGGGATTAGCCGAGACTGTGGAGAAGGAGGACGATGAGGAGGACGATGAGGAGAACGAGGAGGAGGAGGAGGAGATCAGGCATTGTGGTGGTGACTCCACCCCGACCTGACCTGTCACCTCATCCGTCGATGCTCGCATCGCCGCTCGTGCCAGACGAGCCACACGCGACCTTCTCTCGTTCCTTTGATGGCAGCAGCCACCAGCCTCTATTGTCGCACGGCAACCTCTGGCTCCTGTCGCTCTAGCGCTCCCTCTCCCGCCCGCGTCTTTCAACGCTTTTCTTTTTCCTTCGTAAGAAATTTCGTGGCATTTGCCACCGGTGAAATTCTTGAGGAACTTTCACAGGAACGGGAGAAGGGGGGAGGTGAGCGTCGCGTGGTGCGAAGAGCGACCTTCGTTGCTGACGAAACCTTGCCACATACTCAGTGTAGTCCATAGCCAAGGGACTGTATTCATAATACTTAACACTCACCGCAACTACAGCACATCAAACCTAGTCGTGCCTATCTGATCTATGGCAAATCAATGCAAGGCGATTCCTTATCGATGAAATAATTAATTTATAACTTCGAGATTTTTGTGAGTGGTTTCTAATTATTGAGGCATAATGTTCCTACCGTGCAAGTTCGCTATTGCGTTTATAAGAAATGGTGTCTTCCTCTGTGAATAAATCGTGTACAATTTTCAGAAATTTTATGTGATTTTGAGAGTTAATCGGTGTCACAGAATCGGTTCCTTGGATTCGCTGGCACTCGCGCGCTTGGACGATCGCGTCTCATTCAAAAGCAATTTATTGGTTCTTGGTTGCGAAATGTAAGAAAGGTATCCAGTAGGCATTTGCATGTGTGTCGATGTACGTAGCATCACAGTTTGTACACCACGTGAAAGGCTGTTACAGCATAGGTCCACCCAAGAATCAAATTATGCATGCATTATCGTGGTTCTTTTTTAGTTTGGTAGGGTGTGAGTGAGGATCAGTCTGCGATGCGACTTCGTCACCAATGTTGCTCACATACTTGGCATGTCTTAGTAGGTAGGCGAGGGTGTAGGCAGGTATGTCGCACCATGGTAGTCATAGATGGTGTGTCACAGTTCAGTAGGGGCATGGATGAGGTTGACAGCTCGGTAGGGGTATGTATGAGGTTGACAGCTCGGTAGGGGTATGTATGAGGTTGACAGCTCGGTAGGGGTATGTATGAGGTTGACAGCTCGGGTGAGAATTGGGTGTGTCTGTTTCGGTGATAATTTAGTAGGGATATGTGCGGGGGGGTCACAGCTTGTTAGAGGTATGTATGCGGGTTACAGCTCAGTAGGCGTGTGTAGGAATGTCTTACAGCCTTGTAATTTCAAGGACGAGTTTCATATCATCACACGCTGTCTTCCTGACCAGAATACTGCTGCTGCTGCCATCTGCCAGTCATAGGTTTATGTACCCGGAGCGATTTATATGTACTGGGCGTCGTATTTGTATATTAGCTGATTACACATCTGTTGATGGAACGACTATCAGAAGCAACATGTTTCCGGAGCATTGCATTTCATGGCGTATATCGTTTGATTTGCTAACCATGATAATCATTGCATTGCAATACTATATAATGGCATGTATATCATGGCGGTATATCGTTTGATTTTGCTCACAACATCACGAGTCATGATCATAGCATTTTGGTGTCTGCATTACATATCACGCTGTATATTCTTTACGCATATAGAACCGTAACGTTGCGATGTTATCACGTGCAGTGCTCAGTGAGATAATACACAGATACGAAACCGCGAATATAACATCAGTCGCTGTACGTCGTCGATACTCAATCAGATGCGCACAGTAGTGGCAAGTATGTGATAAACAAGTCATTACGTTAACCAGTGCGCTGTGACATAGTATTGAGTTAGTGTATGGAATGGCGGTCGTACGATCTCTATGTTCGTGTAATCGGCTATGCACTTTTTATGTCGTATACACGGGTTACGGTCGTTGTTACGCATAGCAACTACGCTGAGTCTGCCAGCAAAACACGAATGGTCGCGGGACGGAGGTTTCGCCTGCTGCGTTGGCTGTCTCCATATCGTCGTCCTCACCTGGTGGGTGGTCTCGGCATCACATCCGCTCAGTGCTCTCTTGTATGTTGACCAGTAGGAATCAATCGTCGACGGAACATGGTGGAGACAAACGCCGGATGTTGTAAAGCGTATAGAGGACAACATCGCGAGTGCACGGCCTATGGGAAATGGAGTTGTTATATATTATAGCAATGTATATCTGGTCTAAGGATGAGGATGGAGATTGAAAAGATGTGTCGATCCTTGGCCAATATTCTGTAGCCGTCCGGTGTATAAGGAACTAGTAATGTAAGCATAAAGCTTTGCCTCGCAGCTTCGTGGTATTTTTTTTTGCTTCATGCTGCGAGCGAGTCTGCTGAACTATATTGTCCAGCTTCTGTTATTATTGTGTGTGACGTCACGGCCGCAATCTGTTTGCTGGTGGCGGGAGCTTTGTTGCGCGCACTGTGCACAGATATCTTGGTGAGAGTAGGAAGCGGCGGGCGCCTGCACCAGCTTTATGCTGTTTCCATGGCGACTGGCGCAGCCAGATTGCGCTGGTTGGATTCAGCGTGATAACGAAATGCCGAGAAGGTGTGCGCGGTTGAAATGGCCACCTCACCTCCTTATTGAAAGATATCTACTTCGTCGCTTACTGCAGCGTTCACAGCTCGTCAATGACGCTGTAGTATTCGGCGTGCGCGTTTTCCATTGCGTGGCGCGCGCCGCTACCATATCTACAATTATATCCCCTTGGCATGCTCCCCCGCCCCCAGAATTCGCAATAATAGTAAAGCGTCTTCCCTTCTTTGCGATCCATAATTCAATCGTAATTTTGTGGGTTTTCTAAGTATCTGGGTCTGCAGTGCCCGCGTGCTCCTCACCAAAGACTTTCCACTCTGCAAGCAAGGTAAAGACTTTTATTAAAAGATTATTTTTGTAATGCATGCGCTGGTGCCTTCTGGAAGCGAATTACGTAATAAATCTTGTGTTCAATTTTCAGAAAAAACAACTTGTATGTTGGTTTTGTTTGTCGCGGTCGTGAGTTGAATGTTGTCCATGTTTAGACACTCGCTCAATGAATTTGGCGCGCGCATGTAGAGTAGACTCAGGAGCTAGATATATACCTATTATACAGGGAGTAGATAAAGAGATTTCGTATATATAGATTAGCTTCCTTGGAGTAGACAAACGTGATAACGCACCAACCATTAATTCAGCAGGTACACTGGATAGCATTCGTGCATCATCATACAGTTATACTTTTTCTACGTATTGAACGAGGCCATTGGCTTAGCATTCAACCAAGCCAATCTGCTTTTAAGGTCAGCGTATCAAAAAGAAGCGACGGACGCAGTTGAGCATCAATCCATCATTCAGATCCTGCATTATTCTTTATTATGCGATAATTTGTTATGATAAGCGACTTCACATTACCATAATTTCTCTTATATATCTTTTCCCCTTGATCAAGGGATTGCATCGTTCCATCATCCAACTCAATTAGTTTTCATATTCACAACTAGTTATGGGAGAACAATGCGACAGTTACAGTTGATCATGCGACGGATGATCTGTGGGGAGAACTGTTTGGCTAATAATTTGAAATAATAGCCGAAAATATTGTAGGCACACTAATATTGGATAACTCAGTGTGAGTTAGCGCACTGGCACAAGAATCTGAAAATAGATAAGTATATCAATAAAATAATATAATGAAAAAGGCATACCGTAGCCTGACTCGACCAGACAGTATTCTTCCACCGGACCCTACAATGACAGAGCTTCTCTTATTTATAAAGTGGACGTTCACATCATTTAAAGCTATTCTCGGCTACAACCCTAAGCCTGCTCACAAACACACCGCACACCAAACAAACAAACACGCACGCACGCAGCGCAGCCCCCAATGTACAGGAAGGATGGTGCTCGTGCATGGTCCACCGTTGTCCTGTCAGAGAATATTCCTTCGGCCGTTCATATAGGTTCAAAGTGGAAGCAGGAGCCCGACCAACAGAATGCGCTGGGTAATATCCGATGTAAAACATTCAGCCTTTGCTTCGCGAGCATCACGCCCCTAGGTTCCCCGCTAAATTTTAATGTACATAAAAAATGCGCAATCCCGACGTGTCGGTCGCCGTTGACCTGCCAAGAGAATTTTCTTCGGGCCGTTCCTTCATACGTTCCAAAGTGAAACCGCGGCGGGCCGGACAGCAATGTGTGCTGGGTAAAACCCGATCTAAAAATCCTTCACTTTGCTCACAGCATCATCGCCACTAGGTTCTCCACTTACGCCTATAATTAATGTACATGAAAAATGCGCGCCGACGTCGGTCCGCCGTTGACTGCCACAGAAATGTTCTTCGGCTCGTTCGTAATACGTTCAATGTGGAGCAGGCAGGCCGACAGCACGTGCGCTGTTAAATCCAATCTATAACATTCACTTTTGCTCACAGCATCACGCGCTAGTTCCCCGCTATATAATGCACATGAAAATGCCGCTCCGACGACGTCCGTCGCCCCGTTGAACTGCCAAGAGAAGTTTTCTTCGGCCGTTCCTCATAACGTTCAAGTGAAACCGCGGGCGGGCCGAACAGCATGTGTGCCTTCGTTAAAACCCGATCTAAAATATTCCACTTTGCTCAGCAAGCATCACGGCCCTATGTTCTCCACTACGCCTATAATACAATGACATGAAAAATGCGCGCCAGACGTCCGGTCGCCGTTGACTGCGCAAGAGAATTTTCTTCGACACCGTTGCATATACGTTCAAAAGTGGAAGCCAGGCAAGCCCGACGCAACGTGCGCTGTGTAAAATCCAATCTATAACATTCACTTATGCTCGCAGGCATCACGCCTGGGTTCACCGTGCGTTATTCTAATGTACCGCCAGCCGCTTCGGTCGCCGTTGACTGCCAAACGAAAATTTTCTTCGACCGTTCTTGACAGCAGCACACACACACACACACACACACACACACACACACACACACACACACACACCACACACACACACCACACACATCAGTGATACCAGACACACACATCACTGCGCGCGAGCGCGCTGCACGCACACAAACACGCACACACAATACACATTCGGTTCGCGCAGGCGCTGCACCAAACGCATGCACGCGCGCGCGCGTGTGTGCACGTATATCATACATGCTCATCTATGCTCAATTAATCTTCATTTTTCTCTCATTTCTCTAATGAGATCATCTGTGGAGTTTCCGATATTTTCTCCATATCACTGTGACCTAAGTAACTGTGTGGCGTTGCGCTAAACTAACGCCTAACCCTACATATAACCATAAGGTACAATAATAATTATGGAAATCAGTGGTGACGTTGTTGTTGTTATTCCATTATTTCGATTCCGCTCTTAGAGTTGGGGCCACATGTACATTTCCATTATCCCTTTTAGAAGGTGTCCCACCATTATGTAAAGTAAGTTTGTTTGCTAGTCAAATAAACAATCCTTGAATTATACCGTTATTAAAGTAACATCTGCCACTTAGATTAACTAACACTGAAGGTATATATATATTGGCAGAAATGCATAACAATGCAAAGTTTATATGTTATTATTAAGTCTGAGTTGATCAAGGATTGTTTTTTGGCTGTGGTAATCATATAGTTATCCCAATGGTATCAATAATAAAACGTTTTGTCGCTTGCGTTATAACCGTGGTTTTGCTATGGCCAGATGGCAAAAAAGAAGGGAGAAAAGAAGGGCAAGTCCGCGCATCACCGAGGTTTCTTACTCGGAGTACCACCATCCATCTTCATAAGACGGTTTGCATCGGTGTTAAGTAAATCACGAACAAGGTGCTAGCTCTTCTACCGTAGTTTGTTAAACTTAAAGAATAATAAGTCCATTGATTATGCATGTTGACGAAATGCTAGAGTAACTGGCTACCTTGTGTAGTTAATCAAGTACATTAACTTATAGCCAAAAACGCGTATTAGTTTTGTCCAAGTATCACTGCTGGTTTACATTTACAAACGAAGACTTGAAATCGTTGTTGAATATGTATCAAAGGCGGCGTGTACCAGGATTTGTACGCAGGGGGTGGGTCTTGAAACGTAACCCCAACTTGCGAGCACGTTTGCCATAGTAAATGTTCTATAAGCCCTGCGGCGGAGCGGTA